GGGTCCCGTGGAGCGAGGGGCCTGTCGAGTAAAGTGGCTAGCGTTGGGGCAGTTGGTCTGTTGATGACCTAACTGGCGGCAACGAAAACACCCGTTGTGTTCCTGGAGGTATATGCGTTCTGCGGGTGCGAGTTTCTGGAGGCGGCGGGGTGGAGAGGAAGAAGGCGGTCGAGAGGCACGATCCTGGCGTTCCATCCGTATAAGGTGGGCGGTCTGGAGGTCCTCGATGGTGAATCGGGAGGGGTCGAGAGAGGCAGTGTCATCGGAGGTGGGTTGAGTGGTGTCGTTATGGAAAAAGAGGGGGCGGGAAGGAGCGGACGCGGACTGGTGATGGGGGTGGAGGAGTCGATCGTGGTGAAGCATGCGAGAGAGGAGGTCAGCAAGGGGCATGTCGGGTTCGTGGGCGAGGGCGGTGGCAAGATCTTTGTGGCATACTCGCTTGATGCGGGAGATGAACGCAAAGTCGGGAATGACGGTGGTGGGGAGGTGATGGCGGAGGGAGCGGATGTATTGGACGAAGCGGTCTGTGGGACCGGTTTGGCGGAGGTGGCAGAATTGTTCGAGGTAGTCGTCAATGGTTTTCTGGGGGCGGAAGGTGGCAGCAAGAAGTTTGGCCCATTGGAGGAAGGAGTGACGTGGTCCTTCAGAGGCTCGGCGGTTGCTGACTTCAGTCATCCACCATTTGGCGGCATTGTCGAGGAGGCGGGAGGTGGCAATGGGGAGCCAGTGGGCAAGGGGCATGTGGTGGAGGTGAAAAGAGTTCTGGAGCTGGGTTAGGAAGAGGAAAACGTCCTCGTGGGGGAGGCCGGAGAAGGACATGATTTCGCCGGATCGGAAGGAACTGGGGATTTCCCCGTCGCGGTGAACGATCTGCGAGAGGGTGTTGAAGCTGAGGTTATCGGGGGTGGTGTCGTAGCAGGTGTGAGGTTATCGGGGGTGGTGTCGTAGCAGGTGTGGTCGATTTGGTTATTGTCCTCAAGGAGGTGGTTGGGGGGGAGTTGAAGCATTGCGGGGTAAACCCCCGAGGTGGCTTGGGAATAGGTGGGACGGATGGTGGGGATGGTGGAGGTGGTCATGATGGGTTGGGAGAGGGTTTGGGAGTGCGGGGGGGGGGAGAGGGGTGACATGGATGGGCGAGGAATAAGGCGGTGTGCTGGATGCGCCGGATGAGGGAGGAGGTGGAGGGAACGGGACGATGGTGGAGGTTGAAGGGTTGATGGATGTGGTGGTAGAGGTGGTAGGAGTGGACGAGGTCGGCGGGGGGGTGTTGCTGGAGGCGGCTGTGGAGGAGGGAGTGGTTTGCGCTGTGGGGGTTGGAGTGGTTTGCACTGTGGAGGTTGGAGTAGTTTGCACTGTGGGGGTTGGAGTGGTTTGCGCGGTGGTGACGACCGTGATGGAGGGGGTGGTCCCTTCGAGCGTGGTGACGCGGTCGCATATGGACGACATGTTGGCCTTTATGTCGTTGAGAGAGGCGGTGACGGAGATTCGGAGGGTGTTGAGTGCGTGGAGGATGGCGGAGAGGTCGAGGGTGGCGGTGTTTGCTGGTGGTTGTTCGCCTGCGAGGTTGTGGGCGATGCTATCAACTCAGTCGGTGCGGATGTCGGACATGTTGATAGAGGATGCGGCCATGTCGGGGGAAGAGGGGGTGGAGGACGTGGCCTGAGCGGATGTGGAGGATGCAGCAGCAGCGGTGGCGGCGGCAGCAGCGGCGGCGCGTTGGGAGTTCTTGGTTTGGCGTGGTGGCATGTGGAGGGTGGGGGGGGAATCCCTTATTTATTTATTAATAAATTCAAAAATAAAGATAATCCCCAAGTTTTTTCAAAAATAAACGCTGAACAGAAAGAGTTAATTAATTTCAAAAAAATAAATTTTGATGTAGATTTAAATTTATTTACAAGAAAACGTGAAATTTCGAAAGAAAATATTTTCGAATTACGGGAGGAAAATGAATAAATTCTGAAAAGAATTAGGAAGAGGAAAATTTTAAAATATTTGGCAAGAATTTTTCAAAGGAAAATGTCGAAATTTCAGAAAAAGGATAATTAATTTCGAATAAAGAGATTAATTCAGTCGTGAATTAATTGAATTTAGTCAAAATTAATTGAGGGGTTTAGGATAACATTTTTAAAAGAAAGGTAGTTCCGAATTGTAAAAAGAGTTTCGAATTTCAACAAAAATTGCGAAAAGAAATTGTGAATTAAAATACTGGGAAAAAGAATTAATTAGAATTATATTTGAAAAAAAGAATTTAATTAATTGTAACATATTTTTAAAATTTTCGAAAAAAATTAAAATTAAAAATAAAAATTAAGTAGAAATGTTTTGAAAAAGAAATGTTGAAAAAGAATGAAATTAGGTCTAGAATATTTTCAAAATTTTTAAAGAGAAAAACGAATGAATTGAAAGTAGTTTTGAATTTCAAAGAAATGTCGAAAGAAAAAAAAAAAAAAATTCTAACGTATTTCGAGTTACGAAAAGGAAGAGTTTGATCAATTCTAAAATGTTTTCCAAATTACACAAATTCCGAAAAAGAATAAGGAATGTTTTCGAATTATGAAAAAGAAATGTCCAAAAAGAATTTAATTAACTCTGAAATTTTTGAAAAAAATCGAAAAAAGAATTGATTAAACTGATTTTCAAATTTCGAAGATGAAATGTCGAGAGAGAATGCTTAATCCTATGCATTTCGAAAATTTCGAAAGAAGAAAATACGTTTGAGTATTTTCGAATGTACAAAAAAAGAATATAAAATGGATTCTAGAAATGAATAAAATGAATTTTGATGTAAATCGAGGGCGGGGCG